CTCTCCTCTCCTCTCCTCTCCTCTCCTCTCCTCTCCTCTCCTCTCCTCTCCTCTCCTCTCCTCTCCTCACACTTGAAGCTGAAGCAGCAGGAACAATTTCTCAACAATTTTGCTGTGCCTGGTTACCCCTGACATTTGAGTTCCACTAGTGCTACCTGAAACAAACTAGAAGATGAAACACCTTTTCAGTGGAATAACAGTGTTGCCAAGACAGTATCCCTGGTGTTTTAGTTACTAGGCACGCACTGCCTTGTGGAGCCTGTCAGAGGGATCCAAGTAGCGCTGCTTAAGTTCCAAACAGGAAACAAAAATGCTATTCCTTTAACATCACATCTTTCTTTTTATAAGTTATTGCTTTGATAAGGCTTTTCTGTGGGTGATACGTGGCCTTTCCAACTTCAGGTCCTTTATTTAAAAGCTAGATTGTGAGCTGGACTGCACAGAGAGCAGCAGAAGGGAGCAGATAGGAAGGTATAGCAGCACCCAGCCTGCTGGCTGTGCACACAGCCATAAACAGGACTGTGTCCCAGCACCCTGCTCCCAGAAGGACAAGAACGGGGTAGTGCCTCAGCAGCCACCTGGAGCCGTTCCAGTGGACCCCAAGGGCAGAACAAACCCTTCAATATTCTGTCCAGGGATCTGTCATTAGTCCCCAACCTTGAAGAGCTGCTGGGAGGGGGCAGGCCCTGCCCTGGCTCTCTCCCCCTTGCCCAGGATGTGCCAAACACCACTTTCTTTGAATCCTGCCTCCAAAAGGGGAAACTTTTCCAGCCCCCCCAGCCCAAACATTGCCTGCTCCCTGAGGGACGTGTCAGTGGGACGCACTCATGCAAAGCCACCTTCCCCTGCTGCAAACGATGGAGAAGCATGTTTACAAAGTCCGGGAGACAGCTGAAGGAATTAAGTTACTCGAGTGCTTTGGGATCCTTCAGGATGAAAAATGCTGTATACACGTTGGATTTTATTCTTACAATTACAGTCAGATGTTAATCCCCTCACTGGGATTTGCTAACATGGCAATGCCAACAGCAGTACATCTCACTGAGTAATTGCCCCCTTCCTGACAATTCTCAGGGCTGTTTGCTTTAATTCCCGGACCGCTGAGAACCCCCCCCCCCCCGTGATCCCACTCTGCAGAGAGCAGCAGAGCTCCCATCTGTGCTGCCAGGAGGGCTCGGCTTCAGCCACCACCTCGTGTTGGGCTCTGGGAGTTGGAAGTGGGAACGCTTTGCTGGTTGCATTCTATACCGAGGCTGAGCGATATCAACCGCTTTTGTAAATTGTTCTGAGTGCAAACAGGAGACCTGCATTGTTTGATCCCTCTGAGCGCATCTGTGTGATCCAAAGGAGTGAAGAAAGGCACAGAGTTCCACAAAGCGAGGCAGCAGGGCAGGAAGGCTGAGCAGGTTCATACTGGGGGCTCTTGAACCCCATGCTGTGAACACCGCTGTGAACACCCCGGGCCCGGCTCCCAGCCTGGCACATGAAGCTCTGGCTCTCCGCAGGCTCGGGGCTGGGATTTTGAGCTGTCCTTTGGGGATTCTGTTCCCTGCTCTTGCCTGATCACGAAATTGGGCATTTCTGGGATGACAAAGAGCCGTGACCAGCAGTAGGGTGTGTTGGTTGGCACCGGCACGACCTCCGTGGCAGCTGCAGCCCCCAGTGCACCCAGTGGGTGCCAAGCATGCCGTGGTGAGAAGCTTGCAGGGCAATGTGCCGTCCCGCTGCCCCCGGCCCCACGGGTCTCTGGTTATCTCATGCCTCCGGGAGAGAGTGACTGGCACGGGCAGGAATGTTCTTACACTGTCAGCCCGGAGGAACCAGCTGTGTGTCCAATTTTTGGACGGGGTTCAAGCGTGAGCTCAGCGCCGAGCAACGTGGAGGTAAAGGAGGTAAGAAGGGTTTGGGTTTTCGCCACATCGCCGCTCACCGGGCTCCCACCCCACCCGTCGCGCCTCGGAGGCCGCGGACGCAGACCTCCCCGACGGGTCTCCGTTCCCCCACGCCGCGCAGCGAGGAGAAGCGGCGCTCCGCGCTCGGGGTCACGGGGGAGCGGCGGGAGGGAGGGATGCTCCGGGGCGGCCACGGGGCTCCCGGCGGGGGGTGCTGAGCCGCCGCGCCCCGAGGCGGGAGGCGACCGCGGGGAAGCCGCGCTCCGCTCCGCACCGCGCCGGCCGGCGGCTCCCGCGGCGGCGGGGCGGCGGCAGGTGGGGCGGCCGGGGGGCGGCAGGACCCGGCGGAGCGCGCGGGGCCGCGCTGTCACTCAGCGCGCGGCGAAAGTGACAGCGGGGGCGGAGCGGCCGCGCGCCGGGCGCGTATTTAACTTGGGCGGCGGGCGGAGAGCGGCAGTGCGCGGCGGGCGGGCGGGCGGCGGAGCCGGGGGAGAGCGGGGAAGCCAGCCGAACGGAGCCGAAGCGAGCCGAAGCGGGAGGAGCCGAGCCGGCGGCGCGGACCGGGGAGGCGCCCGGAGCCGCCCGCGGCCGGATGCGCTGAGCGCGGCGGGGGGCCGAGCGGCGCGCGGCATGGGCCGCCGGGGGTGCTGAGCGGCGAGGAGACCGCGCCGGGAGCCGGGAGCGCGCCGCGCCGCCGCCGGGGAGCCCCCGGCCCAGGATGCCCCGGGGGGCCGCGGGCCGCCCCGGCCGCCCGCTATGAGGAGGAGCCCCGGGGGGCCGCGGGCGCTGCCGCCGCCGCCCGCCGCCGCCTGAGCCCGCGCCCCGGCGGTGCCCGCGCAGGGGCCGCCCGAGCGGACCGCGCCGTCGTGACCCTCCTCCCCGCCCCCTCGGCCGGCTCGCCCGGCTATAAAGGAGGGTTTTATTCTCGGGCTCCGGTCTCACGCCAAACCCTGTCACACCGTCTAGACGAGCTGTCGTGGGGCTCAGCCCAGCTGTCACCATGGCGATGGAGACGAGTCCGCTGTGAATTTTGGGGGGAGAGCGAGAGCGAGCGAGAGCGGCGGCGGAGGAGAAGGAGGAGGAGGAGGAGGAGGAGGAGGAGGAGGAGGAGGAGGCGCGGGAGGAGGAGGAAGGCTCGGCCGCCGCCGTGCCCTGCCCTGCCCGCCGCCGCCGCCCGCGAGGGAGGCACGGACCCCCCGGCGCTCCGGGCCGCGGCTGGAGCCGGCCCAGCGGGGAGCCCCGGGGAGCCAGCGGCCGCCGAGCGCCTCAGATGCGTCTGTCACACAACGCCGGCCGAGCTATTTAAAGTAACGGGCCTCGCCGGACTTTGTCTCTGCCTATTTATGAGTCCCCGGGAGCTGGCCGGCGCCGCCGGGCAGCGCTAGGAGCCGCGCCGCAGCGCCAGCCCCGCGGGGACGCCAGCGCCGAGCCGGGGGCCGGGCCCGCCCGGAGCATGACGGCCATCGGGGCGCTCCTGCTCTGCTCCTGCCTGGGGCTGCTGCGGCCGGGCGCCGGGCAGCCCTTCCTGCGGCTGCGGCCCTCGCCCAGCGACAACCTGCCGGTGAAGGACATCGTGGAGCACCCGGACCCCGAGTACGACCCGAAGGAGCAGGACCTGGACGAGCGGACTCTGCGCAAGAAGCTGGGCAGCCATTTCGACCCCGGCTTCATGGCCGTGGCCGTGCCGGGCCCCGCCAACGCCTCCGCGGGCGCCGAGGCGGCGGCGGGGCGGGCGCGGGCGGCGGAGCTGCGGCGCTTGGAGCGGGGCGGGCCGCGGCTGCGGGTGGGCAAGAAGGCGAGGCGGAAGGTGCTGCAGTGGCTCTGGGCGTACACCTACTGCCCCGTGCTCTACACCTGGAAGGACCTGGGCGTCCGCTTCTGGCCGCGCTACATCAAGGAGGGCAACTGCTTCGCCGAGAAGTCCTGCTCGCTGCCCGAGGGCATGTTCTGCAAGCCCGTCAAGTCGGTCACCAAGACGTTCCTGCGCTGGCACTGCCAGGGCTGGTCCAGCCAGAAGTACTGCACCTGGATCCCCGTGCAGTACCCGCTCATCTCCGAGTGCAAGTGCTCCTGCTAGCACGGCCCCGCGCCGCCCCGGCCCTCGCGCTGCTCTCTTTGCTCGTCCGCATCTTCCGAGGGGGGGTTCGTCCGCCCTCCCCCTCGGGGCGAGCGCGGGGCGTGATGGGGGGGTCGGGGGGAGGAACCGGGTCTGACTTATTTTAATGTTATTTTATTTGAAAGGGGGAGAAGCGAACCCAGGAACTGCAGGGCAGGCCAAAGGCACAGTAAAGCACTACAATCAGATGTCTATTTTTATACGTATATAGCCTTCTAACGAAAGGAAAATAATAATAATAAAAAAAAAAAAACCTAAAAAAAAAAAAATCCCAGCCGTGTAAATAGAGAGATTTTAAAGGAAAGGGGGAAATCGCAGCTGTTTTTTTTTTTTTTTAATTATTATAATTATAATTATAATTATTGTTATTATTATTATTTTAAAAACGTAGGACCACATTTTAAACCCGTCCCCACCGAACCCGAGCGCTCCCCCCGCAGAGGTGGGGGGGGGGGGGCACAGATTTCTTGTCAAGATGGTTTTAACAATGGGAAAGGAAACCCCGGGGAAGAGCAGCAGCATCCCTGAAGGTGGCCGTTCCTCTGTGCTGTATTTTCCTTTTTTTTCAGACGTTGTCATTGGTGTTCCGGCTCTGGGGGGGGAGGGGGGTGGGGGGCGTTAAGTGTATAACAATGACTTAAGGAGGCAGTTTTAAAGAGAAGTACAAATCTATGGAAGAGTGGAATCGTTTTGTTGTGTGGGAATACGTATAGTCACGTAGAGATGCTAAAGGAAATCTTCTGTGTACAGTTTATTTATTTTTAACGTTTGTGTATAGGAAAAAAAAAAAAAAAAAAAAAAAAGAGCTAGAGATTATGCCAGAAACTATTGGAAATGTTTACTTGAATATTCCTTTAAAAACAAAACAAAACACATATCAATGTAAATAGGAGCTATCAGTGATGGAAACGTTTTTAGCAATAAACTCTATCTTTGAAGAACGCCGCCCGGAGCCCCACGGGGTCACACAGGGAGTGTGGGCTGAGCAGAGCCCATGGAGCTGCATGGGGAGCTGTGGGAACCCACTGCAGGAGGAGAGCTGTGGTCACAGAGGGGCAGGAGCGCAGTGTGTGGGGCAGGAGGTGCCATCCGAAGTCACTGGGAGGTCCCCGCTTTGCTTCGCCATCTCCTTCACACACTGTGCTTGGTGGATCCGGCTCCAGTTGAGCATCCCGGCCCATCTCATCCAGCACAGCCCCGAGCCTCACAACGGACCCGGCTGCAGCAGGGAAGGATGGATGGCAGCCCCGTGCCTGCCGCGGAGCAGCCGTCGTGTGCACATCTCCCCATCAGCGCTGGGCTCTGAAGCAGCACCCGCTCCAGCTGGGCGCTGGCACCGCTCTGCCCGTGCTCCAGTGGGAGCTCCTGGAGGCCAGCAGGGAGGAGCCCGGGCACTGCGGCCACGGGGCGCCCTGATGCACGGCCAGCTGTCTCCCTGCGTGTTCCGTGGGGGCTGCTGGTGGCGAGGGGAAGGTCTGCGCCGTTCTTTCCATGTGTGTGATCTGCCTGGTGTCCCTGAGGAACAAACCACAGCTGAGTGCCCCGTGCGTGGAGCCCGTGGGGAGGCAGCAGGATGCTGGCTGGGGTCTCTCCAAAGGGACTGGGGTCTGTGAGCCCACCCAGGGCTGGCAAGACCCGAGAGGTCACGCTCAGAAGGTGAGAGGTCAGAACAGGGAGAGGGAGAGGGCTCTTCTGATGGAGAGGCGCACGGCTGCCCTGCAGCTGATATCCCAGCCTGTAGCCGTCCCCATGGAGTGCGTGGCCATCCCCGTGGAACATGTGCAGTGTGTGGCTGTCCCCATGGAGCAGGCCAACCTTCCCACGGGGCTGCCAGCAAGGGAGCAGGGATGAGGGGATGGGGAGGGCAGGGTGGAAAGGAGACCTCGCGACGGCAATGTGCAAAACATCAGGGGCATTTGGGAGAGGAAGGGGAAAGCTCATTTTGCAAGAGGAACAACATCTGTGGTGTGGGGGCCGAACATCTGTAGGAGGGAGCATGGGGGGAGGGCATTCTGGGAAAATATTTCTGACATAATCCCAACAGTATCTGGTGTGTTGAGATTTGGTTACAAATGGCCCTCTAACGTCTTTGTGCGTTTTGTTCTGCTGGTTCCAGGGGCACACAGAGACCCCGGCTTTGTGCTAACCTGGGAAATAAACCATTCGCTGGACTCAATGGCTGAGTTCAGTTGTGTGGGGAAGGGGGGCGGGAGCGGGGAAGGAGAGATTTGTGTGAACGCCGGAGAAAACCAGCCTGAAAGCCTCTGTGCCATGTGCTGCTGGGAGGAGGGGGCTGCCCGCGTCCCAGGGGAGCGGCTGGTGGTCCTGCATGGCTGCGGGCAGAAGGGAGCGTGCCCGGAACCAAAGTGCCCCGTGGCTCCTGCAGGGCACGGGCAGGGGCTGGGGGTGCAGACGGCCGGGGGATGCGGTGTCCTTTGCTGCCCGGAGACGCGATGAGTCGGACGTGCGACAGCCGGGCTGCGGGCACGATGGCTCACCCGTCCTCAAAGGAGAGAAAGACAAAGGGGAACGAGCCCGGCTCTTTGGTGCGGTCGCTTCATTGTCTCATCAAGCTGCTTGTGATTAAGGGACGGGCTGGAGGGGAGAGGGGGCACGACAGGCCTCCGTGAGACCCGCGGTGCGGCGGGTGCTGGCTCTGCACACGTGGTTTCTCCCCCCTTCTTCCCCCCAGACTGTGGGGTGGTGACCCGGAGGGAGAGGAGCTCGGAACTGCAGGGGTGGGGGCATCCTGTAGGCTGGGTCACGCTTGTCATCGTGTTGGCAAGAGGTGGCTGTGGCCACACACGTGCAGGCATGCACACACCGGGTGTCCGGATGGCACCTCCGGCTGCACAGTGCCTCACGGGTTGATGCTGCCCTCGCCCTGCAGAGCTTTGCAGTCCATGCCCTTCCCTTCTCCAGGCAGCATTCCCTCCTCTGGAATGGCCAACCCTGCACTGCTCCCCATCTTTGTGCTCACCATCATGGACTGTGATTTCAAAGTGAGTGCTGGTGACCACAGCGAAGCATTTGGGAGACTCAGAGGCTGAACCCCGTCCTCCTTTGGGCAGAGCAGGGCAGGACACACGGTGGAGGACCCGGCAGCTGCCCTCATCACAGCAGGGAATCAAAGGTGCCTTTTCCCTGCGCAGCCAGCGCTGGCACCACAGTGCTTATCTGCTCCGACCCCATGTGCTGTGTTATGCAGTTCCTGCGGTTCCATCACTCTGGATGTTTCCTCCTCGCACTCCCTACCAGGGCCAGCTTGGAGCAGAGCCCTTTGGGTCTGCTGAGGCTGCCATCTCTGCTTTGTAGTGACAGGGTCACCCTGATGCTGAGCAGGTGGCCTTTTTGCTGCTTGAACCCCCAGTCTAGATGATCCCAGCTGCAGGCACGGACTGGTTTGCCAGGTGAGAGGCAGTAAGAGCTCAGGATGTCTTCAGTGGCCCAGAGGACTTTTCTCTGCTTTTCACATCCTATTTGGCTTTGGCACCAGAGCAGGTTAACTCTTTTCTCTCCATTTCCCAAGGCTATCTCTCCTCGCTTACCTGTGCCAACTCACCCCCTTTAGCTCAGCTCTGGGCAGACTTTGCCTTACCTATGGCTGTTCTTTAGAAACACCACCTCTGTTGGCACTCTGGCTCTGCCGGGCTGGCCCTAATTCATAGGGCCAGGGCTCACAGGCACCTAATGCCAGCTCCTGAGACACTCGGCTCAGGCTAGGTGATGACCTAAGCCTATCATTCGTCATTCCTAGAAGAGCAGGCAAGCGATCTGCAGGCAATAATTGGCCTCCTTTGAACTTTCAAGCTGAGGCTAAACAGGGACTTTTCTCAATTCCCACAACAGCAGGCAGCAGCCAGCACTGATACATCCATGCCCCATGGGAGGAGCAGCGGTGGGCTCTCGTCCCACCATCTCCCCTGGGCTGTCGGGTTTGAGGTTATGGGCTCTGCTCCTGCTCAAGACCCATTGCAGGCTGTGTTCCTCCTCCTTGCTCTGCAGTGCACCGTCACTCCCTGAGTCTCCACGTGCAGCAAACCCAACCACGTGCCCGGTTGCTTCTAGGCAGAGCTGTGCACAGACCCCTCCAGCAGCAAAGGGGCTCTGTGAGGCTTCACCCTCAGCCACCCCAAAGGCACCTGTTCCTTTGCAAATGTGCCCACGAGCCTCCCTCCCCTTTGATGACTGAAAGCAAACGCTAACAGCAGTGCCACCCAGGAGGCATGGCTGCTCCTCGGTAGCTGCTTGTTATTCTGCTTAAAAATGTCAGATGTGCCGTCAAGGAGAAGGGAGCCCATCACGTGGCACCCAGGAGCCCAATCCGAGAGGCAGAGCGAGGAAGAACAAATCACAGCTGGTGGGGAGGACGCGCTCGCAGGCAGACCATTGGCTAAAATGGCTCTTTCAGGCAGATGGTGAATGAATCCATTCACAAAAAAAGCAGGTCCAGTTTGCAGACGGCAAACCAGTCTACATATTTATTTTCATGAGCTGGATGAGCCTGCCAGGGAGACATGGAAGTCCTGAAGCAGCTGTGTGGGACATGGCTGGTGCAGCCGTGCCCAAGCTGTGCAGGGATTTGGGGAAGGAGGATTCTGGATCCCTCCAGCTGCAGGCCCTGCATTCCTCCCAAGGCAGTGCTGTGCCCTGCTCCAAGCTACCTGCAGCGAGGTGCAGGTCTTTGGGAGCTGAGGAGCACTGGACTGCACAGGGACAACCAGGCTGGTGTGGCAAGAGGTCTGTTCTCCAGTGTCATCTGGGTGTTCTGAGCAGGTTGGGTAGCACACACTGAGAGAAATGTTGGAACAAATGCTGGGTAAGGCTCCTCCTGGGATCTGGAGGCTGGGGGTGAGCCATGCCACGTCTCCCATCACACCACACATGGCCCTGCCCAGCCATCCCATGCTGCACCCTGGAGGGCAGGTGACCAACTCACTGCCCACCCCCGTTCATTAGGGTCCAGATCTTTCTCCCCTGGAAATCCTTTCAAACTACTACGAAGTTTGCTGAGTTCAACAACAACAATAAAAAAGCCACTATGGGCTTTGGAACTGAAGCTGCTGGGGGCATGCACTGAGGTCCTGAAGCTTCCAGGATGGATAATATCAAAAGCAAGCAGCACACGCAGCCAGTGCTTCCCAATTCACAGCTCTGGCTGTGCTGAAGAGTCTGCACGAGGTAAAGCTGCATCTCTGAGCACCAGAGCAGATAAGGAATGGGCACGG